GGTGTCTGCACGAACGCTCATTGGACACATTCACCTCCACAGTGTTTGTGTACCCCTTTATTTCCAGTCTCATTTTTGAGGAGCCAGAATAGGGAAGTAAGATAATTTGGGTTTTAGGAGTGAAGAGGTTTGAAAGCTGAGGATACATTCCTCTGACCTGGCCCAATTACGTACCTCATCTTCACTGAGCATCTTCTGTGTCCTGGGCACTCTGGGGCCAAAGAGCACCATGTGGCTGGGGAGGCACAGACAGACCTCATAGGCCATCCGAGTCCTGAGCTGATCTGATTAGTGGGGAGGGTAGTTCATTCTGTGGGGTCTAGTCCTGGGAGAGGCTCCTGAAGGAGATAGGACCATGCTGGCTGTGAAGAGTCTGTAGGGTCCTGATGGGTGAAAGAGAGGCAGGTCCAGTGAAGCTGTTAATAGCAAACCAGAGAAGCTGATGAGAGGGTTTCGTGGGGGCGGGACTTGTCTGCAGAGATAAGCAGGAAAACATGTCCCTTCCAGGTTTGGGCCAGGGGGTTGGAGCAGGAAAGAGACGAAAGACTCTCCCAAGATAGAGGCAGTGGAGGGAGAGGAGACCTGGCCCAAGCTTCTGAACATGGTCAAGGATGGCAGTTCAGAAATGGAGAAGGCAGGATTGTGTGTTTTGAAATGGAAACTGCGGGGAAGCTGCTACCACTGGCAGAAGAGGAGCTAGTTGAAAAAGGAGTAGTGGCTTTTTTTCTAAGAGACATGCAATTAAAGATCTCCGCTTTGAGACAGAGAAACCTGGAGTTTAATCCTTTATCATTCTCTTATTAGCTTGTCTAGGCTTGGGGAAGTTACTTAAGCACTCTGGGCCTCTGTTTTATCCTGTATAAAATAGGAAGGAGAGTGCTCAGTGCCTGACACACAAGGTTCTTGAGGCTGTAGAAGGAATGAGAGATGCTAATGGTAGCAGTGGCACCAGGAGTTGAGTGGTGGGGGCTGTGGGCGGCCATGGGCTGGACGTGCAGATAGAAGACGGTGAAATGTTAGGCAGTGTCCCTTTTCCAAATTGGATGATTAGGGGCGTGGTAGCATCCCCCTCTTGCTAAGACTTGTGATCTCTGGTCCCTTCCAGCTTGACTTAAGGGCTGGGGCCAGGGCAGAGGTGAGTGTACCTGTGTGGTCTGAGAAGGCTGCTGGAGAGCAGTCTTCTGGGGGGACACTGGGAGCCTCGGCCAGAGTTCAGAAATAACCCACAGGAAAGAAATTGGCACTTGGACTGAGGGGAGGTATTGGAGTGTGGGAGAATGCGGGAGAGTTCCAGAAGATGGGCCTGGGAGGGAGGAGCGGCCAGACTGCAGGTGTTGGAGGCCCAGCTTAGCTCCGTGGGCCTTGAACTGGGATCACGGAGGAGAGAATGAGGACCAGGAGGAGGGAAAGCAGCCCCCGATGCCAGTTACCTCAGGCCGCAGCTGGGTCCAGGTGGGGTCGTACCTGGAATATAGTGGGTGGGACTGGTTTTACTGCGTGTCACAATGACAGGACTCCTTAGGCCGAGGTAAAGAATGCTGCCATGCTCAGTTAATAAAACATGTGCTGTTGCCTCCCCAGGAAGACCCTTCAGGTGAAGGAGTCTTGCCGTCGGTGCCCAGCCCGCAGCCTTCCACCTCCCATCCCCTGTTCGCCATCGGTTTGCCCGTCTCTGTGTTCCAGGTCTGACGCTTTACAACTCTTTGGGTTTGTTAGTAAGACTATCATGAAGCGTCCAGCTTCTGAGGCTGGTCACTAAAATGGGCCTTGGCTGGAGACTCATTAGGTTGGTTGCCAGGATGTTTGCCGTTTTCTAGAAAAGGTGGATAAGTGGCCAAGAAATAAAAGTCTAAGAATAAAGCTTAGATTTGCTCGTCATTGTACCTTCTACTTGTAAGGGGAAATATACCCTCAAAATATTTTATATATAGAAGTTCTCGTCACTTTCTCCTATAGGGAAAAAGCTGGCCAGTTTTTAACCTGTGAGAAAATAGACTCAGACAAATTAGTTTGCTTATGAGTATAGGTGGCTGTGGATAATTCAGATTGGATATAGAATAATGAAAGCAGCTTATCAAATTTCTAACAATTCGGCTTAAATAAATTTAAAAAAAATCCATACAAATAGTAATTTTAGTTTTCTTGTATTCAAGTTTGGCTGTTAAACATTTTCCTTAATGTCAAAAATAAATATTGAATGAAGTGCTGGTGTAAAGAGGGTTGGGGGTCAGGGCTCCCAGACGGCCGAAGGCGGGGTAACTTGGAAGGTGGTTTGCTACCACATATCCAGAAAGTCTCATCAGTGTCTACTATGTTCTGTCTGGCATTCCCACTCACGAGATCACTCCTAAAGAAATCAGGTAGGATACAAATAGCCAAAAGCTGGTCATCGTGGCCCCGAATCTAATGATGGAGGAATGTTTCTCTAGCAGGAGGAGGCGGATTAGATGGGTGATGGTGCAGCCATGTGGCTAGAAGCCTGGTCAGCCACTGGTGATGCTGATGGACACCTAGTAACTGGGAAAGGGGCTTCCCATATAAAAAAGGGGGGGGGGAAAGGGTTACAAGTTAAACAAGGACAGTCTCATTTTTGAGAAAACCTATAACACAGTATTGAGTTCCTTATTTTTGTTTATATTTGATTTTTTTTTTTTTTAAGAAACATATTTAAAATAAGTGGAAAACAAGTTCTTTTTAATTGAGAAAAGTCAGAAGCACCCTACTGGCTGGCGTCTCAGGTTATATTGCCAGTTGGTGAGCAGCTGCAAAGCTGCCTTCTGTGAGGTGGTCCTACACCGCCTTAGCCCTTCACTGTGCCCCCACTCACTACTATGCTTTGTTTTGCAGGAGGTGCTTCCTGCAGCTGGAGGGGCTGCTGGGCTTGAGGACACGCACTGCACAGGCAGCACTGTCATCCTGCGGGACCTGCAGTGAAAACAGCCTCCTGTCTGGGGAACCTGAGGGTGATGCCTCTGGTCTGTGTCCCCACAAGATTCTGTTATGTGGTCTTGCAAACCACTTGGTTTCTGCTCAGGCGGCCAGCCTAGTTCTTCAGAGACTTTTGGATACATTTATTGAAAATGGTTTTTTTTTACATTCTATCAGGAACGAGTTTGGGACTGTATTATTTGAAACTGCCTTGTCCGAGCAAAGTGCTTCGGTGAGGCAAGGAATGCCTTCTAAGCAACGCACATGTCTCTTCCGTACTTGCCTGTGTGCGTACATCCTTTGTCCCATTTGATCTGAGCCGTGAAGCACTTGTTGCATTTTCAAAACACAGACTTGGGCAGGAAATAGAGTACAGGTTCCCTAGTCAAATACAACTTTATCTGTAGTGAAACTAGCTTTGGTGTTTTCAGCATTTGTCCTGAGACATCTAGGAATCCTTTTTTCTTTTTCGAGAGCTGTGTAACAGGCCATTTCCCAACCCCTTGTGTGGTGTTCATGGTCGAGTTGACTTTTTCACGCTGTGGGGCAGAAGTGGGCGTTGTCACAGGAAGCCAAATTCTAATCCATGTTGTGGCAGACCAGGTGGGCAGCTGGCGTGAGAGGAAAATATTGGGGGTGAAGTGGGCACATCGGGGGCCCTGTTAGCAAGCTCTCTGTGTAGACTGAATTTCGAGCTCATAGTTTGGGGATGGTCGAGTTAAAACTTTCAAAATAATTTTTCTAAATTCTATATTTGGGTATTAACATTTAATAGTAATTTGACAGTGGTTTATAAAGTAATGTTCTGAAACTAAATTATGTGCAGGACTATAATGATAGCATGTCTGTTTTTGTGGCGGTTGAAGATGTGCATATCATATCACTATATATTTTTACAGAGTATGGTCTGTCTTTTACAGAGTACTCGTCTGCAAAAGAAGACGAGTTGATAACCTTGCACATATTTGTTAGTTAGCGAACTGGACATGGTTACTCAGAAATGCTGTGTTTGCCTTGTGCTTTTTGAAAGTGTGTGTTTATTCAGATGCTCTTTTGGTTCTCAGACTTGGAATCATCTAAACTCTACTTGTCTGTTTCCTGGTTGCTTGAGTTTTTGGACTTGGGCTTTTGAGAGGGATTCCTCTCTCTTTCCTGTTTTAAGGTGCCATCTACTTCAGAGTGCTTCTCTACTCAAAGGAATTCTAGCCCCATTTATAAATGGTTTCTACAGAACCCTGTGCTGTGTCACAGACTACAGTTCTGTGCTTACCTGACACCTCAGCCTCCAGGTCCTCCAGAAGCCCCCTCCCTCTACAAGGAGCCAGTCCAGTCTGCCAGCATGGTCTTGGGAGCTGGGTGGCCTGGTAGCCACATTGCACTGGCTTCATGAAGGAGGACGTGTCACTGGACCTTTCTCTCGCATGTCCCCCAGTGAATGTCCACCACCGAGTGATTGGTACTGGCTGTCAGTTTCTGGGCACTGAGGTTCCCTGCTGGCAATGGACCCAACTCCTACTGCAAATAAATAAAAAGTTTTTGTATAGTTACGCACTGAAGGTTTTGCTTGGCTTAATTTAAGGAACTGTGAGTACAGTGTTGAAGTCATTTTTTCCTTCGTTTAGTAGTAGTAACCATTCTTTCTGCGCAGCTTGCTGCTTGCTTTTGTCTTTTCACTGGGGCTAAGCCCCACACCACCCCCCAGGGTGGAATTGACTTTTGTCACCCAAGCAGTTATTTTAGATGGGAGTCAAGATGGGCTCCTTCCTCAAGCATTTGCATGTGGTTAAATGATTCAGGAGGGGTGCTGGCATTTGGTAACAGAGTCTGCCTCCTTAAACAGGCCTGAGACACCAAAGAGTCATGGGGTTTATTTCACATGAGTAAGAAAATGTACAGCATGAGATTGTGAGGGACACAGCGATGGCTGCATCCGGGCCCTGGCGCAGCCTCGTGTGCTTCCTGCTGCCCTCTCTCCCGTGCCGTCAGCCAGGCCGGTGGCTGCAGTTAGGTGAAGAAGAACAGCTGCTCCTCCTTGTCCTTGTCCAGTGACTTGTGCTCAGGCTCCTCCTTGCTCTTTAGGGCTGGGGGCCGGGAGCGGCACACCAGCCTTCTGCCTCTCTGCAGAGGAAGCAGACTCACTGAGCCTCTGCCTGTGGCCTCAGGGCACCAGAGGTGCCACCTAGATGCCAAGGTTACAACTCTGTCTCTAGCATGCCAGGAGGCTGGGCAGGTGGGGCTGTGGGGCCCCGTGGACTGTCTCAGCCTCTGGACATTCTGGGTCAGCCACAGGCTGAGGGCTGGGGTTGCTGAGCTGATTGAGGAGTGTGAGTCTGTCCAGCACTAAAGCCTGTGCCCTGGGTTGCCAGCCCATAGATGTGTGAGGGGTGGTGGCAGGGGAAGCAGATGGGAAACACTGGGCTAAACAGAGGGAACCCATCTCTTGCTGTGGGGTTATGGGAGGACCCTGCAGTGTCTGCCATTCCCCACAGGACAGAGTGGAAAGTGCTGGTCTGTTCCTAGGAAAGCCCATTGGCCTCGTTCGTCTGTTGGGGGCCGTGTTCAGGCACGGTCCTGCTTTAGAGACCACACCACCTGTTGCCAGGGCCAGAAGCAGGTGGCTGCTCCTGCCCGTTTGCTATGGGGTGGAGGTCTTGGGACATAGCAGTCAGGGGGACACCTAGTGACGTAATGACTTGGCCTGGGGTATAGGTTGTGTGGTGGGACCTGGGGGATCCTGAGCTGTTCGTGCCAGCTCTCTGAGCTGAGGGGCTGTACCTGGGAGGGCATGGCCAGGCCTGTCACTGACCAGGAGTGCATGGAGGAGGGCTGGCAGCTCCAGAAGAGGGCTTCTGGAGGAAGGGGCGGGCCTCAGGGGCAGTGGACCCAGGAACCGGAGACCCTGCTCCACCCTGGCCTTGCTCACAGTCCTAGAACCCCAGTAATAACATCTGCAAAGGCAGTGAGCCAGGCTTGGCTGGAGGCCCTCCGCTGCTCGCAGCCCCTCCGTGCCTGGTCGTGGGTCCCTTCCCAGGCAATGACTCCCCAGGGCCACCCTGCCCACCTTCGTTTTGACCTCTGCCTGGGCCCGGGCTCGGGCCCGTTGCAGACGCTCCTCCTGCAGCTGCTTCTGCATCTTGGCCTTCTCTTCCCGGATTCTGGGTGGCAGTGGCAGCACAAGATGGGTTAAGGCCTGGAGAGGCCAGGGGAGGCCGCCAGATCCTCTTCCCGGCTCTTTCCTTCACAGTCCTCAGGCCACGGCCCACCCTCTTCTGAGATAACTACCCACTCCACCCTTCCCTGCCAGGGCGGGGCCTTGGTTCTGCCCCTGCTCCTTGGAGGTGGGGGGTATTCCAGCTCGGCTCCTCTGGGATACCATTTAAGGGTCATCATCGCATACACTCAGGAGGCCCAGGTTCCTGGAACCCCATCTCCAGTCATTGACCCATGTGCCTATGGCATCCCCATTGTCACCCTTGAAGGCCCAGCCCCAGCAAGGTTAGTAGCCTTGTCTCATTCCTGTTTGTATTTCTAATCCTCAAACCTTTGCCCAGTGTCTGCTCTAAGCCGGGTACCAGCGACACAGGAAGAACCCCTGTGCTTATGGGAGAGACATGACTGCAGATGGCTGTGTCTCAGGGCTCTGCACAAGAGTAAATGAACCAGGCAGCCCACAGGCCAAAGGAATCACAGCCCCTGGAAGTCACCTGCACCCCACGGGGCATGTGGGGAGTTCCTGGGCCTCCCCTTGGAGGACGGGCCCACACCACCCGTGTCCAGTGTTCTAACACTGCCACCTCTGCCTTTCTGCCCCTGCCATTAACCCCTGGGTTCCCCCCCAGGTGCTCCCCAAGTCTCTGTACTTCCCCTACCCTGGGCTCTGGCAGTGCCAGCCGCTCTCCCTCCAATCCAGCCAGGAAAGTGGCCATTGCTGTCCCTTGTCCTTGGGGGTGAGGCTGTGCTGGCCACACCTCTTTGGCTCCTGGGCTCCCTGACTCCACAACGTCCCCCTCTCCACAAGAGGGGCTTCCGTCACTGCGGCTGAGTTGGGTATCACCTCTGGATTCTCCCAGAGCCCTGGCTTCTGGCTTTCCCAGCATGGAGCACCAGGATCCTGTCCCCTGGCTCAGGAGCTCTTGGAAGGCAGGGTAGCTGGGTCAACCCGGAGCGGGAGTGGGGGTGTGGAGGGTGGCCTTGCCCTCAGGGCCCTCTCGGTGTGAGGCTGTTGGGCGGAGCCTGGGCCCTCACCTCTGGCGCCGCTCCTTCTCCTTGGCCTTCTCTGCCTGCTCAATTTTGACCTGGGGCACACGCTCCAGGTTCTCGAGCAGCTCGTCCAGCTGTTGCTCAATGATGGTCAGCATCTGCACAGTGCCGAGGTTGGACTCCTGCTGGCTGCCGACACAGTTCTGGTACACGTCCAGCACCTTGTGGTTCAGGCTCTCCAGCACCTTGTCCTGAGAGATGGCAGGCCTCCATCGGGGTCTCGCGGGCCCGTGCCCAGTCACACTCCATGGTCTACCAGGCCTCTTGCCCTTGCTGAGGCATGGTGGACCTCGCTGGGCCCAGCCTGGCACAGGTTGGCACTCAGGAAGCATGGGGTAAACAACTTGGACACCTGGACTCTTCCTTGGCCAGAGCTGTGACCCCCTCGCCCTCCTGTGGTCAGCCAAATCCTGGGCTCTAGCCCCCACAGGCTCAGGCCTGTGCCTCGACCCCTCCTTCAGCTGCCTCAGTGTGCCCACTGAAGCCCAGTTCCCTCCTCCAGGGAGCCCTCCCTGTTCTGCCCCTGCATTGACCTCAGTTCCCCATAGGACCACATTGTGTGATCTTTGTGTGGCCCTGGGCAAATGAACTCCCCTCAGCCTGTTCTGACATTGAGAAACCAGTTAATGCCCCCTGCTGCACGGAGTGGGCCTGAGGATTAAATGAAGAACAGCAGGCAAAAAGGCTTAGGTTAGGCATGGGGCACAGCCACTGACCAGTGATGTCTGGCAGGAGGTGGGATGCACTGGCTTGCTCATCGTGGCAGCCCGTGTACCTGAACTAGTGCCTGGCACAGTAGGCACTCAACAGGAATTTGAATGAATTAGGAAGCTGGATCTACATATGGCTCTGGGCGTGCTGCCCGGAAGGGTGTGTGCCGAATCCTGGTCCCACTGCTTGGAACATCCTTGGCCTTTTGTGCCCTCAGAATTCTTTCACTCTCTCAGCCTGGCCTGGGGATGTGCCTGTCTTCCTCCCAGCAAGGTCACCTTCTGGGTACATTGTATATGCTTAAGAAGCAGACGTATTTGTTGAGTAAAAGTAGGAATGGAGGTGTGTTGGGCAGCTGAACAGCCATGGGGCAGAAACAGAATGGCTCAGGTTTGGGGACCAGGGGCCTTCTCCAGCCAGTGCCCTTTGGTCGGACGCACAGAGCCTGGAAGGTGACAAGGTGCCACAGCAGCCCCAGAATATGGCCAACCCTGGAGTCTTGCTTCCCTGCTGTCAGAGCTCCAGGCACTGGGTCTCCTCCCAGCAGTTGCCTGGAATGGATACCACTCCCCCGTCCCCTGCCCTCAGCATGTGGCCACCTGCACTCCTTCCACTCCCAGTGCCTGCCAGCTGCCATCTGGGGGGCCTACCTCCTGAGCACCCTTGTACTCGCCGAAATGGAAGACCCGGGCTTTGAGCTCCAGCTCAGCGGCCGTCTCCTCCTCCTTGACGATGGACATCATCAGTGTGGTGATGCACTGCTTTAGGTGGTTGACCTCCCTGTCCCTGGATGGGGGACCAGCAGGGCTCTGCTCACTCAGCATGGCCCTGGGTACTTTACCAGTCTGAGCATGACACCTACCCCCCGCCCCTCACCCCCACCGCTGTCCTGAGGGCTAAGGTACCATGACTGCAAAGTGCATGCCCAGGGGTCAAAGGTGCTGTGATATGCAGGGGTTAAATTTATGACCTTTAGCAATTGAGACTAGAAAAAAAAAAGTTTTTAGTATATTCACAAAGTTGCACATCATCACCATAATCTAATTTTAGAACATTTTCATCACCCAGAGAGAAACAGCACCCATTAGCAGTCACTCCCCATTTTTCCCTCTCCCCTTACTTTGTCTCTTTCCTGGACATTTTATAAACATGGAGCTATACACATGTGGCCTTTTGTGTCTGGCTCTCATTCAACACAAAGTTTTCAAGGTCCATCCAAGTTGTAGCAGAACTTCATTCCTTATGACCACATAATAGCCCATTGTGTGGACAGACCACACTGCTGACCCACTCATCTGTAGAAAGACATGGTGGTTTCTACCTTTTGGCTCTTAGGATTAGTACTGCTATGAACGTTCACAGACAGGTTTTTGGGAGGACACATTTTCTGTTCTCTTGGGCATATACTGGGGGTGCCAAAACAATGTATACACATTTTAAGCGATGTTATCTATGGATTACTTTTTGAAGTTGAATTGAATTATGGTAGCAATGTGTAGTATGATGTTTGCTCAATTATGACGTTAATCAAATGAATGCTAGCGTCACCATCCGACAGGACAGTCAAAGAAAATGGTGGAAGCACAGTTGTCGTTCGAGGAGCGCAAGACAATTTTGAAATGGTATTTGAAATTTGAGAATGTTCTCCTGACTTAACACCCCTTGACTTCTTCCTGTGGGGAACCTTAAAGGATGTGGTATACTGTAAAAAACTGGCTATACTGGTGGTACTTCGGGAAGAAATTGAAATGGTATGCACAGCAATACAAGTGAACACTTTGGTACAACATTGCTCAAGCAGTAGATGACCATAATCAGAAGTGTCTGGACACTGATGGTAACCACTTTCAGCACCTCTTGTAATTGCAGAAGTCAAACGTGACTTGTATTCATCTTTTGTTATTGGCATATATTGGGTATTACAACTTAAATACAGTTTTTTCCTTTCTTAAAATGTGTATACTTTTTTTTTGGCACCCTCTGTATTTAGGAATAGAATTGCAACAATCAACTTTTAAATGATGTAATAAATTTTATGTTGGGGTTTCCCAAGCTGGAATCCCAGCTCTAAAGGCTAACATGGGTTCACTAAGTGCAGGCAGCTGCATGCAGGTACTGGTCATAGTGACTGTATGGACATGTGGCCACTTTGCCAGCAGTTGCCTGGGAGACCCAGAGGTGTCCCCTTCCCCTCACAATGATTTTGGGGCTATCCATTTGTTGATAGAACCTACTGACATTTTCTCAATGTTAAACAAAGTGCCATGGGCTGCTGGTGTTTTGCCCACTGGGGTCCCATGATCTGTCACATGCACTGCCACAGGTGTGCAGGCCACAGCCCCACAGCAACCCCTTAGGCTGCACTCCAGCTGTGGAGCCGAGGGCTGAGACCAGAAGCTTGCGAGTGTGAGGCGTACTGAGCTTGTCTGGCTGGTTCTAGGAGGAGGCTCAGAGGTGGTGGACAGAGAGGACACATGCAGCTCACACACACACCCCCACCTGCCTGGGCACTGGTGAGGCACAAGCAGGTCTCCTAGGATGACAACAGAGAGCACCTCCTGGTGTCAGGCCCAACTTCCCTCCAACCCTGAGTGCCCACTGCAGGAACACGTGCGTTTGGGGTCAGTGGGATGTTTCCTAAAGGATACGTGATTGCATTTGGCTATAACCTAGTTTTTAATCCTTCACTTTCAATGGCTTAATTGGTCAGTGTGCTATCCTACAGCTGGCACTGTGCTGGTTCACCTCTGCCCTTCTTTGTTACATGGACGTGGTGTGGTGTTTTTTGGTTTTTCTATTTCTTCTCCAGGTGATTGGGATAATTTCCCCCTACTAGTTCTCTTTAAATGTAAAATTGTTGGGTCACAATTTTTTTCTCCTCAATTAGATCCCACCTGCAATTTACAGGAAATGCAGAGGTGAGGCATGAGGAACCAGCTGCTCAGTGTTGGTCCCCAGACTAACGTGCACATCACCTGCATGTTGGTCAGAAATGCAGAGTCCAGGCCTTGCCCAGGACCTGTCTAATCAGAGACTTTATTTTACAAGCTCCCTAGGGAGTCCAGCACACACTGAGAAGTCTGAGGAGCACTTTGCTGCCAGAAAAGTGATCTGGTTTTTTCCAGGTGGACTGCAGGGGTACAACAAGATGAAGAGGGAACCTATGGATCAAAAGGGATTTAAAGACACAACCAAATGCAGAGTGTAATCTTATTTGGATTCTAATTCAAACTAACAGCTTAAAAACACAATCACTTATGGATTATGGATATTAAATATTAAGGATTACTGTTTTTTTAGATATGATGATAGTATTGAGGTTATGTTAAAGAGCCCTATCTTTTTAGAGATATCTACTGAAATATTTACAGATGAAATGACATAATGCCTGGAATTTGCTTCAAAATAATAAAGAGGAGATGGGGAAGGTGAAAGGAGACTGCCTACGAGCTGATCACTGCTGAAGCTGGTGATGGTATTCAGGACTCATTATACTATTCTCTCTACTTTTGTATGTTCATATGTTTGACATTTTCTTAGAGTTATTGGGCTGAATTGGAGAAGTTATAAGAAGTTTTTAAAAATGTAACAAGAAAGAAGATTCCTTCATAAATACCTAGAAACATATAACCAGAAAGTTTACTAGAGTGGTATTAAAACAAGCACCATGAAATGTGAATAACAGTCATTCAGAAGAACAAACAAAAGAGTACGAGTTACCATATTCCTACAGATATAGCAGCAAAAAGAACAAAAACAGAATATTTTTAATAGAGGAAGATAGCAGAGTAGGAAGCACTAGGAATCTGTCTCCCCAATCTAGACAACAATCGCACCGGTAGAATCTGATAAAACCATTTTGGAATGCTGGAGTCTATTGAACACTTGCAATTTCCAGGGGAAGCCCTGGACAGTAATTGCAATTAATTTCAGTCAAGTTCAGCTCTGACCATAGTAGCAGCTACCCAGCCAACACTCCCAGCTGTATGGCAGGCAGCTGTGCAAATTTCCTGGAGCAGCTTGCACAGCCTGTGGAAGCTAGGGTGGGCAAAAAGGACCCTGTCCTCCAAATATTGGGAATTTGTGCTCTGATTGCTGGTTGGTGCTTCTGATTACAGAGGTGCAAACAAACAGGCAGCCATTATTGTTGCACACCCGCCCCCTTGTTGCAAGTCCCTCCTCCTTGGCTGAAGTGACTTCCAAGGGATTTAAGAGCTAGTACTCTTCTCATCCCCTTCATTTTTTTTTCTTTTTCCCCTTTTGATAACCAGATACTAAAGACCAAGGACATTAAAAAACAACAGTGTATATGGGGAAAACTAGAAAATTACTGTGTATGCCCAGTGAAAGGTTCAGAAAAGACCTAAAAAGACCCTTAAGTTTACACCTCAGGCTCAGCACAGAGAACTTCCAAATAAAAACAATAACAAACAAAACTCTGGGGTAGGGAGAGAATCTGATTTCCAGAGTTACCACATTATTAGATTCGAATGTTTAGTATTTAAAAACAATAACAAACAAAATCACAAGGCACACACAAACACAAGAAAGTATGGCCCACTCAGAGGGAAAGAAATCAACAGAAACTGTCCCTAAGAAAACCTGATGGTAGATACACTAAATTCTGGAGCTGAAAAGTACAAGAACTAAAATGAAAACTTTACTAGAGGGATTCAAAGGCAGATTTGAGTAGGGAGAAGAAAGAATCAGTGATCTTGAAGATAGGTCAATGGAAACTATCTAGGCTGAGGAACAGAAAGGAAAAAAACTTAAGAAAAACAAATAGAGCCTAAAGAATCTGTTGAACATCATTAAGAGGACCAATATATGTATCTTGGCTGTCCCAGAAGAAGAAGAGAGAGAAAGGCACAGAGAAAATATTTGAAGAAATAATGGCTGAAAACGTCCCAAATTGGATGAAAAAAACATGAATATAAACATCCAAAAACCCCCAAGGAACTCCAAGTAAGAGGAAATCAGAGACCCCCACTGAACTTATAATTAACTATCACAGAAAAATCAAAACCCAAAGCCAAAGAATCTCAAAAGCAGCAAGAGAGAAGAACATTATATACAAATGACCTTCAATAGGTTATCAACAGATTTCTCATTAGAAACTTTGGTGGCCAGAAGACAGTAGGCTGATAATGTTCAAAGTACTCAACAACAACAACAACAACAACAACAAAAACCAAAAAACCAAAAAAAAAAAGAAAAACCCACTGTCAACCAAGAATCCTAGATCTGATATAACTGTTCTTTAAAAGTGAGGGAGAAGTTAAGACATTCCCAGATAAACAAAAGCTGAGGGAAGTTAGAGAAGAAAGAAACCTAAGGTGCAACATACCAAAGTTTATGAGACAATGCAGAAGTGGTTCTTAGGGGGAAATTTATAGCTATAAACACATAAAAAAAAAGGAAAGGAAAAGAAAGGAGATCTGAAAATCAACAACCTAATTTTACAACATAAGGAACGTCTAGAAAAAAGAAGAAATTAAACTCAAAGCTAGCAGAAGTAAGGAAATAAAGATTAGACAAGCAAAACAAAATAGAGAATAGAATAACAATTGGTTCTTTGAAAAGATCCACAAAATTGACAAATCTTTAGCTTTGATGGACTAAGGGAAAAACCAAAATACTAAAATCAGAAATGAAAGTGGGGACATTACACGGGCCGGTCGAGTGGCTCAGTTGGTTAAAGAGCTCACTCAAGAGTGTGAGCTCCGGGCCGGCCGAGTGGCGCGATGGTTAAGAACTCGCTTGGGATGCCAGAGGGCCCCGGTTCG